AACTTTGCCTCCCGATTCTCCTGCTTCAGCCTCCCAAGTATCTGGGATTACAGGTGCTCACCATGATTCTCAGCTAATGTTTCTTCTTTTAATAGAGACAGGGTTTCACCATGTTGGCCAGGCTGGTCTGGAACTCCTCAACTTTGGTGATCCTCCTGCCTTGGCCTCCCAAGTGCTAAGATTACAGGCATGAGCCACCATGCCTGGCCTGCACCTTGATTTTCTTCACTTCATAGTATGTCCTGAAATCCTTACCCCTCAGTATACAAAAAAGCGTATGATTTACATAGAATTCCAAACTCCTTACTGTTAGGACTTCTCTTCTGTATCAGTCACTACTCCAGCCCCTTTAAATTCATCATCTTTTCTAAAAGTACACCCATTTTGTGAATGAATAAATGGAGGTTAAGGAACTTGTCCCAAGCCTCACAGTAAGTGGCCAAGTAGAGATTTCGGCCCAGTACTGTCTGTTTCTTTGTTTGCTTAACTGTCATCGCGACGTCTTCCCTATTACTTGATTTTTGTGTTTTTGTCATCCCCTTGCAGACATTTCTGAGTTGTGACAGCCTCGATAAGAATAATCTCCTTGTTGTGATGCAGTCTCCTAAAGAGACACGTCAGTGTGCCCAGATCTGTTGTGTGTTTTCTTAAGATTTTAGTCTACAGTTACTTGAAATTCCCTCAAAGCCACACCCAGCCCCTTTCCTTGGCTTGTTTCGCAAATCTGGTTTCCCAGAATCACATATACCTGCTGTTTTCTAGCTGTCTGTCTCCCTTGCCAGGGGAGCAGAGACCCATCCACTCCTTCCTGAGCCTCCCCAGGTCTGAGGAAACTTCCTGTTATGTTTGATGAGTAAAGATGAATCATAAGAAGCTGGCCTTTCTCTTCCTCCTGAAAGCAGAAGTGATTCTTACTAAGATGTCCAACTTTGTCATTAGCCAAATTGTAAGGGTTTAATGTGTTTTTTATTTTTAATAACAATGAGATCGTGCCAGACAGTGAGATTAATTATAGAATGATTGTTTCGCTGATGCCGCCATCTGTTCTTTGCAGAACTTCAGTTCGGTGAGAAGTCTGGGGAAAAGGGTTTACTGGCCACCAGAAGTCTCTGCTTAACCAGACACTTCTGGTAATCAACCGTTGTTGCTCTCATTCTGAAATTCTTCTAATTGGTCTTTAGAAAATTGATTTTTAAGTTAGTCCTGCAGGATTTCTGTGTTATTTATTATTCGTGAATTAAAAATCGAAAGCATTTAATAACACCAAATGTTGATCAGAATGTGGGCGTGATTTCTCCTAGATATGGCTAAATATATAGCCATAAATATGTATCAATCAGGAAACTTTCCTTAGAAGTTCATTAAAAAAAAAAAACCAAATTGTGGAGTTATACTTATTTTATTTTAAAATATCCCATCCAGCTAAAATAATGCTCAAAATCACTTGATAATGGTAACTGCAATTGCTCTTGAAATGTTAACTATGGTGATATTAGAAAACAGGCTGTTTAAAACAACTTTCCACTCGGGTGACAAATATAATATCCAGGCTGCAAACTCTTACAGAGAAATATTACCTCAAAAAAATATTTGTCTGCACATTGAAATGTTTGTAAGTTGCTTCCTCACATGAATTAGAAAAGTTGATTGCTGGTTTAGTCTGTAGCCCAGAAAAAGCGGCTGAGTCGCATACCTCCTGACCTGTGAAAGAAATATATAGGGAGGAGTAATTCCAGTATGGGCCAACAGATGGCACCAATCTGTTTCTAAGGTATCGCTTTACTTAATTTTAAACTAAGGACTTGTATTTGTCAAGCATTTACCGTTGTGTTTCCGTGCATTTACAAGTTACTTTCTCTTCTTCTGAAAAAGAGATCTTGGTAAGTAAAAAGACTTCTGTGACTTGTTCACATTATGACACAGGTGCTTCAAATAAGCAAATTTGCTAACCACTGAATAGGAAATAGGTAATGTTTCCTTTTGCCGGCCCTTTTGCAAAATGGTTTGAAGTGGTTTCTTTTCGCAGATGTTTCAAATGTCCTTTGACTTTCACAAGCAGATAAAAAGCGGTGTCTTTACAGCTGTCTTGAAATGATAGACAACAGCTAGCACTTGTGATAACTAAGAAAAAAACTAATGTTATTTATTTCTTCTGCTTTGGTCTAGTCAGTTTTCTCTTTTCTTCTTTCTCTAGTTTATTGTTTTCAGAAATATTTAATGGTATTTTATATATACCACTGATATGGCACCTATATATGATATGTTTTTATACCAGACGTGTGTTTGATCCCCCTTGTTGCTTGATACTGCAATAGTTTGCTGGTCTGTCACTAATTCATAAAATTTTTGAAAGCAGGAACTATGTCAGTCCTATTCATATTTATATCCCCAAAATGCCTAATGCCTAGCATGGCTCTGGCAGAAAAACAGGCTCTGAGTAGACATTTATTAAATGAAGGAAATGGCCGGAACCAAGCCCTTCACAACCTTGAATCTGGCACAGTCTAGCAATTGCCTTCCTCTAGGTCCCTCACCTTAAGTTCGACAAATGAAACAATGTTTCTCTTGTCTATTTGTTGATTATGTGATCTTTCCTCTACTTACCTCACTTAATTGTTTTCTGATGGCTTCTTTTTTTTTGTGGTTTTAATTTTCATAGTTCTTGTCTACCTTTTTCTTCTGAAATACAGTTTTTTCATCTTTTACCTCACCCTTTTCATTTGATACATTTAAAAAATAAACGGCTTTTACCTGTTTATATATTTTTACTTTCTTTAAAAAATCTATAAACTCTCTAATCTTCCACTTTCATCTTCCCATGTTTCCTCTGTTTATCCCCCACAAATATAAAAATTACTGTTTTGTTCATTTAGTGTATATGCTAGGAACTGCCTCAGAATATGAATGCCCCTGCAGGAATATTGCGTGTTTGTGGCAGGGTGCTGTAAGGACGGCTGATCAGCTTTTCCACCTGGTGGCTGAATTTCAGTCCCATGAACCCAGACACGGTGGGTCTGGGTGTCAGGGACCTGTAGGGTGGGTCCTCATCTATGAATGTCAGTTATCTACTATTATCTGAAAGTTCTGTCTTTATATTTTAATATTCCAAATAAAACAACCATGTTTCTTTTTCCTTCTTTCTTTTTTTTTTTTTTGAGTCTCACTCTGTTGTCAGGCTGGAGTGCAGTGGTGCGATCTCCACTCACTGCAACCTTCAGCGCCTGTGAGGTTCAAGTGATTCTCCTGCCTCAGCCTCCAGAGTAGCTGGGATTTACAGACGTGTGCCGCCACGCCCGACTAATTTTTGTATATTTAGTAGAAACCGGGTTTCACCACGTTGGCCACGATGGTTTCAATCTCTTGACTTCCTGATCCTGCCTCGGCCTCCCAAAGTGCTGAGATTACAGGCGTGAGTCATTGCGGCCAGCCCACATGTTTCTGTAAAGATAAAATATAAAATATTTTTACACAGCTATAAAGACAACTCTTAGATTGTCTTAAGATAACTTTTATGGATTATAAAATATGTTCGTAATGAGACATTTCAAGGATTTGAAAGCATAAGAAAATTAAATTCATCTATAATTCAGAGATTCAGAGAACTATTATTAGTATTTGATATATTTCATCACATTTTTTGTCCTCTAGACTTTATGTATGTCATGTTTTAATCATATTTTGCAAAATTAGAGACCTACTACATATATAATTGTGTATTACTGTGTTCATTTAACATTATCCTTTTTTCAAAGTACAATATTTGAGACTGCATATTATTTAATTATGTATAACTGGTTTAGCCATTTTCTACACTAGAGATTATGATTTTTCAATATTTTATTATGTTATGAGTATTCTTATAGTCATAGCTTCTGTGTGCATTTTTGACTATTTCTTTAGAAAATTCCTTGTAGTGGAATTGTTAAAGGGAGTTATATTTTTAAGATATTTATATAAATTACCAAATTGCCCTTTAGAAAGGTTGTACTAATTTTTCATTTCTGCCTAAGTAGTAAATGAGGGTTCTTATATTAGTTTCCACCTACCAACCTGGATATTATATTTTTTAATTTTCCTAGTTTGATAGGTGAAAATAAAATCTTGCCTTTAAAAAAAATCTTTGAAGAAACAACAATCCCCCTTTGACTCCCTTTATCTTTTTATGCTAAAATATCTTACAGTAAAAATTGCAGGCATTCTGGAAACCTATTTCTAAATGCTTTATTCTCTATCTCTCAAAAAATTGCATTTTCCTAAAATAGCCAAATAACATTATCGAAAATTAAAACGTTTTTCTTAATAGCATCTAGTGGCTGGGCTGTCGTGGAATCTGCCCCTCCTCCTGTTGCTAAATATGTTTTATAGCAAGTCTGTCTTAACTGAGATCTAATTCAAGATCATGAGTTTCATCTAGATTTTATGTGCTTTTTTGTTTTAATATGCAGTTTTAATTTTTGTGAGATTGGACACTTCATTTTATTGGCAATTTATTTTTTGGTAAATTATTCAGTAAATAATATAGTAAACTTAATTTTGAATGTTGAAAGTTTGAAAAATCTAGATTAAAAACTAAGAGGAAAATAAAATTCCATTGTGATCTTACTGTGCAAAGATAATCACTGTATCTTGGCATGTATCTTATTAATTTTTCCACATGCATAGGTACATATTTACTTTGGTACTTTTTAAATTAACTGCTTTTTGTCACTTACATAAAGTGAAAATTTTTTCATGCAATTTGATTTTTGTTATTTTTAAAGGCTACATAGTACTATTTAATTATACAGTGAATCTAACATTTAGTTGACAACCTGCTACTTTTGGATAATTGAGGGATTTTTTTTCAAAACAGAATTTATTTTTACCAGGAGCAGTGGCTTGTACCCGTAATCCCACTCCGTGGGAGGCTGAGGTGACAGGATGGCATGAGCCCAGGACCTTAAGCTATGATTGTGCCATTGCACTCCAGCCTGGCCAGTGGAACAAAACCCCATCTCTTAAAAAAAAATATTTAAGAAAATAATAATTATAAGGTTTATTGCCGAGGTAAAATGGGGAAACTGAGGCGAGTATAAGAAAATGAGAAGCTAATTTATTCATCTCCCAGGTAAGGTTCTGTGGTCCAGGAAGAGGCCAAAGAAGTCACGACCGGCTGTTTAGGGCTGGGGTTTTATGGGGAGGGAAGGCAATTGATTGGCTATTGGGGAAACAAAGGGAAGGCAATTTTATTGGCTGTTGAGAGGCAGGAAGTGTCTGGAGCTAACTGTCATTGGTAGGTGGGCGAGACTTTGGGTAAGTGGGCCTTGACTGGCTATAGGGGAAACAAAGTGTAGGCAATTTCATTGGCTGTTGAGAGGCAGGAAGTGCCTGGAGCTAGCTGTCATTGGTAGGCAGAGGGACCTTGGGTAAGTGGGCCTTCCGGGGCGTAAGGGGCAGACCGCTACCGGGCAGGGTTTGCTGGGGGCTTCTTTTAAAAAATTCTTTTATAGGTTTTTCAACAGCGGGCTGAGGGTTGGATGCAGTTTATTTATTTATTTTTTATTTTTGGATGCATAGTTTAATGCTGAGTGTGGCCTTGGGTATGATATGCAGAGGCAAGTGCGGGGAAGCCATGTGGTGAGGCCAGATAAGGAGCTTGAGTGATGACATAGTTATCAGGCGCGGAGAGTCATGAATGTGTCCGTTTGACTCCCGGTGAGGCAACCGGCCTTACAATAATGATAATAGTTATTTTGTGCCAGCCACTTTATTGTATTCTTTTACTTGTGCTAACACTTTTTCAGTGACTTCTGTTTGGTTTTCCACATCGACAGTCTTATCTTCTGAAAATAATGATGATTCTCTTTCTTCATTTCAACATTTCTTCCTGTTATTTTTTATTCTTTATTGCAGTGGCTAGAACTTCTAGAAATAGCCATGTGTGCACTCTCGATGTTGACTTTAGCAGGAATGCCTTGGGGTGGCATATTGATCAAAGTTAGGTATTTGAGGTATTCTTTATTTTGGAAACGGAGGCTAGCTCTGTCACCAGGCTGGAGTGCAGTGATACAGTCTTGGCTTACTGCAACCTCGGCCTCCTGGGTTCAAGCCATTCTCCTGCCTCAGCCTCCTGAGTAGCTGGGACTACACGTGAATGCCACCATGCCCAGCTAATTTTTGTATTTTTTAGTAGAGATGGGGTTTCACTGTGTTAGCCAGGATGGTCTTGGTCTCTTGTCCTTGTGATCCACCTGCCTTGGCCTCCCAAAGTGTTGGGATCACAGGCGTGAGCCCCCACTCCTGGCCTGAGGTATTCTTTATCACGTTTTCAAAGTATCTTTTAAATATCTAGTTTAAAGTTGTATTTTTAATCAAAGATGAGGACTGAATTTTATCAAGTGAATTTTTCACATTTTTGGGATGCTTCTTTATTTTTCTTGTTTGACCTACTTGTGTGAATTATTGTTACAGACTTGTTAATGATAGACCATTTCTACAATTCCAGAAACATCCTAATTATTCATTGTGTTATTTCTTCAGGACACAGCTAGATTGATTGGGGTTTCTTTATTCTGAGCTCTACCCTTTCCCCACAAATGACTGAAATTTAGTCCTTTCATTTGTTAATTACTCTTAATTTTATAATTATATATAATTATAATTATAAAATATATTTATAAACATATTATAAAATATAATATAATTTTATAATTATATATACTTATGAATATTTTTCTAACAATATCAGGAGTTGATTGGCAGCTATAGCTTCCTTTCAATCAGGCAAGTGTCTTACATGGTTTTAGCACACTCTCTCCCTCATTAGCCCATGTTCAGCCAATTCACTTGTTATCATTGGCAGTTTCTAGCTCGAGATTTTTATTAAAATTTTTGTCATCAATACTTTTTTGGTACTTAGCACTAAATTTTACTACTTTCTTTTGCTAAATAGTCCTCCTTGTATCTTATGATTTTGGAGTCAATTCCTTTTTAAACTCTCCATCCTCTGGGAATTCAGGTATGGATCTGTCTTCCATGTCTTTTAGTATTTTAGTGTGTTTTCTATGTCTTTGGCCTCCTCTGCTGAGTTTTGGAAAATTCTTCTTGGTCACCTCTATCATTAGTTTTCTCATTAGTGGTGCTATTTGCAACTCAACTCATCCAATGAGTTTTCCATTTTGATAATTGTCTTTAATTTCCATGATTCTTACTCTATTTTTAGAAGAATCTTGCCTCTTTCTGAGGCTATTATAAATGCCTATTCTGCTTTTTATTTCTGTTTGTTGGGTGTTAACTTCTTTCATATCTTGAGTTTGGCTCCTTTCTGTTTTGACATTTGCTTTCTGCAGTGTCATGCTTCTTGCTTGTGCAACCCAAACTCTGTTTAAGGCTTTCTGTGAATGTGCTGTTGATCTATTTTCATAGCCTGCTTGTTGGGATTGTGGATCAAACCAGTCTCTACTAATTTCCTTTTTTCTTTTTCTTTTTGAGATGGACTCTTGCTCTGTGGCCCAGGCTGGAGTGCAGCGGCCCAATCTCAGCTCACTGCAACCTCCACCTTCTGGGTTCAAGTGATTCTCCTCCTGAGTAGCTGGGACTACAGGTGCCCAGCACCATGCCTGGCTAATTTTTTAATTTTTAGTGGAGACAGGGTTTCACCATGTGGGCCAGGCTGGTTTTGAACTCCTGACATCAGCTGCTCCACTCATCCTGGCCTCCCAAAGTGCTGGGATTACAGAGGTGAATCACTGTACCTGGCCCCAGTGTCTACTAATTTTCTACTGATGCTGTAACAAATTACCACAAACTTTGTGGCTTAAAGCAATATGCATTTATTATCTTACAGTTCTGTAGGGTAGGAGTATGACACAGATCTTGTTGGGCTAAAATCAAGGGATTGGCAAGGCTGCATTCTTTCTGGAGACTCTAAGAGAAATCCAGGTACTTGCCTTTTCAGACTTCTAGAGGCTGTTCCCATTTCTTGACTCATGTTCCCCTTCCTTTATCTTCAGAGCCAGCAAAGGTGGACCAAGCTCTTCTCATATCACATCACCCTGGCTTCTGGGTGATGTTCTTCTTCTGCCTTCTTCTAACACTTTAAAGGATGTTTGTGATTACACTGGGGCCATCCAAATAATTCAGGATAATCTTACTATTTTAAGATCAGCTGATTAGCAACTATAATTTCATCTGCAACATTAAACTTTCCTTTGCCATTTAATATACCATATTCACCAAGTCTGGGGATTAGAAAGTAGACATCTTTGGGAGGCCAGTATTCTATCATAGGTGAATCTGATTCTAGATTTCAGAGACTTCTTGGTTTCAGTCCCCTAAGGGTCCCCTTGACTTTTAGTGTGTTATGGATCTATCTATCTATTGATAAACCCATTGATATAGATATAACTGTAATAGATATAGATAAAACTTAATGAATATTTTAAAAAATATTTGGTCATTTCAGGAATTTAAGGCAAGAAGAGAAAGCTGGAACATATACAGACCATCCTTTTGTCTATCATGATTTTTAATTTTTTTTTATTTGAAAATGTGGTTTTGTCACCCAGGCTGGAGTGCAGTGGCACCATCTTGGCTCACTGCAACCTCTGCCTCCCAGGTTCAAGTGATTCTCCTGCCTTAGCTTCCCAAGTAGCTGGGACTATTGGTGTGTACCACCACGCCTGGCTAATTTTTTTTTTTGCATGTTTAGTAGAGATGGGGTTTCACTGTGTTTGCCAGGCTGGCCAACTTCTTACCTCAGGAGATCCACCTGCCTCAGCCTCCCAAAGTGCTGGGATTACAGGTGTGAGTCACCACGCCCAGCCTCTTAGAACACTTTTAAGTGTGATTTTAAAGTTTCTTTTATAGTAAGAAATATGACTTTTACAATTTCTGTTTTGGGATATTTAATTTAAGATGTATGCATTTGACCTAAAAAACTATTGATTTTAGTAAATGCTCCATGAACTCTAGAGAATTAGATATATGATATTCTCTTTTTGTAGGGTACAGTTTATGTCTCCATTAAATCCTTTACTAATTAACTCATTCAAATTTCCACGTTAATTTTTTGCTACTTAATCTAATAATTTCCCAGAGAAATATGCTAAATACTTATAGTCACAATGTCTCCATGTGTTTTGTAACGTTTTTTACTTTGTAAATTTTGATGCAAAATTATTTGCTGCCTAAATGTTCTTATCTGTTATATTTTCATTGTGAGCTATTTGTTTTGACCATATAACCAGTATAAATTAGTAGCTTCTTCTGTCCTTGCCCAATTCTCTAGTACTTTGACCAAGTGGAGTATTGTATATACAAACTGCAATTCCCGATGAACACAGCTACCAGTATTCCACTTGCTGCCCATATCTGTAAGTATCATTGTCTGAGTTACACATCTCAGAAGGCAGTGTGCTCCCTAAAGTGGTTCCCTACCCCATGTCCAGCTCTTACCTGGTAGTGTCCATCACTAAATGTAAAGTCTGGGGAGTATGGAGTGTGGCAGTCCATAAAAGGAAAGCTCAGTATGCTGATCCACTCATATCCCTTTTACCATTGGGGTAAAAGGGACACTGCCTAGTTACCTGTTAAGTACCAGTTGAAACTCATACTCAGTGTTTGAATCAGAGACAAACAGAGAGAGGGACAAAATTTCTTCCAGTGTTTCATCAGGGTGTCTATTTTCCTGAGACAAAGCTTGAGTGTGGCAGGTTTGCCCTAACACAGCTCCGGATACCTTTTCGTGAGCGAAGCTGCTCCTGGATCCTGCTGTTGTGTTTTCTGTGTTTCTTTGTTTTCAGTGGCAAAGTGGATTTTCAAATGTATGTGTGTCTCAGTGGGTGTTCTGATGGGGAGTTGGGAGAAGTTATATGGGTCAGTGAAGAGCTTTTAAGCATATGCTGTTCTGTAATAAAAGTTCCCCAACTCAGAGTTTTCCCTCTTCCAAAGAATGGTTGGTTGAAACTCTACTCATCTCTTGCCTGTTTTACAATTTCCAGTATATCCTCTGATGATGAAAAGTGGATCCTTTGTAAATAAAGAACTCATCTCTTGACTGTTTTACTATTTCCAGTATATCCCCGATGGTGAAAAGTGGGTCCTTTGTAAATAGAACTGAGGGATGAGCAGTGCTCATTTTGGTAATCTACTCTCAATTATTCCTGCAGCTCAGAGACCTACTTTAAAAATGTTGTGCCTGCTTTTGTCCCCCAGGAACTGGTAGATGCTTTCCTATGCAGAACAGAGCCTGAAAAGGTTCTGAGCCTGCCTAGCAGTTCTAATCTTTTGTCTCAGTCATGATCATGGGGTCTGCGGGCTCCCACACCTGCCTCCATGCCTTAGCCAGGAAATCTTTTCTTGTTTGCTCAGCATCATGGTCATGAACATCAATGTTTATAATCTGTTGTAATGCAGTGATGCCTTCTGGGCCCTGAGGAAGTAGTTGTCTCTTCCATACAGCGGCTTTAGCCTGACAAACTTTGTTTCATTGTGTCAGTCAGTGTGTTAGCTGTTGGAACTTGATGTTTTCAGATGATCATGTGCTGAATCCTGTCTCTCTAAATTTGTTGCTTGTGGTTTAATGTAGGTTGGAAAAATACTCACCCATTGTAAGAGGAATTGTGTCAACAATGAGATCCTATGACTGAAAACACTCCTGGGATTAAAAAGAGCACAGTATATGAGTCATTGCAATGGCCTGAATGTTTGTGTCTCTCTGAAATTCATATGCTGAAACCTAATTACTGACATGATGGTATTAGGAGATGGGGGCCTTTGGAAGGTGATTGGGTCTTGAGGACGGGTGGTCAGGATGCCACTGTGGGAACTGGGTGGCCATGGAGACATGTGTGGCCTCGTGTGCTGGTACACAGAGGCATGCTGGCTTTTGCCCCCTGTGGGGGCTCACAGATGGTTTTCTGTGCAGATCAGAGCCTGGAGGGAGTAAACTCCTGAGCATATGTCTGAGTTTCTGAGACTGTCTCCTTGCTTTCCCTTTAGAATAATTTTAGTCCTACCCCTTTTCCCAGTCACCAACATGGGATCTGTGGGCTTGTGTGCCTGCTACCAGCCCCCAGAAAGACACAAATGCCCAGTTCGGCCTATGTTAATTACATTTTCTCCATGCCTCCATGAATGGTGCTATCATTTCTGCCAGGCCACTGATAGCTAGTTTTGGTCAGGTCCAATTCATGAAGGTGGAGTGAGTAGGTAGTTCCTCCTTAAGATATACATGTAGCCTAATTCCAGTCCTCATTTGCCCTCCCAAAAGGATTGATCCCTTCATCTTCCACAGGGCTTTGGCCATCACATTATAGGCAGATCCACCTCCTGGCCAGGCCTCAATGTCCTGCCAACCACCTTCCTCCCCTTCCTTTTCTTTTGATGTCACCTTGGCCAAATTGGGTTGGGGACAGAATCCTGAAAGTTGGGTTTGGGTCAGAATCCTGAAAGACACAATCCCACGTGCCATAATCCTGAATGTTGAAATCCTGGAAGATCGAAATCCTGAAAATATGATTCTGAAAAAAATAAAATTAAAAAGATTATTTAAAAGACATTCATTTACATTTTTGAAATGAAACATATGAAAACATGACAATAGTTTATAAGTCACTTTATGCAATAAAATAGACAATAATGACATACATATTTTTGCAAGTATGAACACTTAGACATGCTAAGGACAGTGGCATGGTAAACACTCATGAACAGATGAAACATACTCACAAATAAATGACTTATATAACTGCTGCCACCCACACCATCAAACCATGATGGACAACCTAAGTCCTTTGATACAATTGATCAAAAACTGATGGGTCACCACCACATATATAGTAGCCCAGAGAGCTGAGAGCTCAAGAAATTTTATCTGTCACAAATGCAGATGGATAAAAAGAACTTCTCTTTATTTATTGAGAAAGCTTCAATGTTTTCTCTCTTTCTCTTTCTTTTTAATTCCTGCTCACTGCAACCACCTCTGCCTCCTGGGCTCAAGCCATCCTCCACTTCAGCCTCCCAAGTAGCTGGGACTACAGGCAGGCATCATCATGCCTGACTAATTTTTGTATTTTTTTGCAGAGACAGGATCTCATCATGTTGACCAGGCTGGTCTCAAACTCCAGAGCTCAAGCAATCTGGTCACAAGCCATCTGCCCACCTTGGCCTCCAAAAGTGCTGGGATTACAGAGCATGAGTTCTTTCTATTGCATTGATCCTTTTACCATTCTGTAATGTCTTTTTTGTCTCTTTTGATCTTTGTTGGTTTAAAGTCCGTTTTATCAGAGACTGGGATTGCAACCCCTGCTTTTTTTTTTGCTCTCCATTTGCTTGATAAATCTTCTTCCATCCCTTTATTTTGAGTCTATGTGTGTCTTTGCTCATGATATGGGTCTCCTGAATACAGCACACCAATGAGTCTTGACTTTTTAATCCAGTTTGCAGTCTGTGTCTTTTGATTGGGGCATTTAGGCCATTTACATTTAATGTTAATGTTGTTATGTGTGAATTTGATCCTGCCATTTTGTTGACACAGTTTCTTGATTGCATCATTGGTCTTTACCATTTGGTACATTTTTGCAGTGGATGGTACTGGTTGTTCCTTTCCTTGATTAGTGCTTCCTTCAGTAGCTCTTATAAGGCAGGTCTAGTGGTGAAGAAATCTCTCAGCAATTGCTTGTCCATAAATGATTTTATTTCTCCTTCACTTATGAAGCTTAGTTTGGCTGGATATGAAATTCTGGGTTGAAAGTTCTTTTCTTTATGGATGTTGAATACTAGCTCCCATTCTCTGTTGATCAATTCTGCTGAGAGATCCACTGTGAGTCTGATGGGCTTCACTTTGTGGGTGACCTGACCTTTCTCTCTGGCTGCTCTTAGCATTTTTTCCTTCATTTCAACCCTGCTAAATCTGTGCCTTGGGGTTGCTCTTTTTGAGGAATATCTTCATGGTGTTCTCTGCATTTCCTGGATTTGAATGTTGGCCTGCTTTGCTAAGTTGTGGAAGTTCTCCTATATAATATCCTGAAGAGTGTTTTCCAGCTTGGATTCATTCTCCCCATCACATTTAAGTACACCAATCAAGAGTAAATTAGGTCTTTTCACATAATCCCGTATTTCTTGAGGCTTTATTTCATTTCACTCTTTTTCTCTAACCTTGCCTTCTCATTTTATTTGAGTTGATCTTCAATCTTTGTTATCCTTTCTTCTGCTTGATCAATTCGGCTGTTGAGATTTGTGTAAGCTTTGTGAAGTTCTCATGCTGTGTTTTTTCAGCTCATCAAGTCATTTATGTTCTTCTCTAAGCTGGTCATTCTGGTTTGCATTTCGCCAACCTTTTTTCAAGGTTTTTAGTTTCTTTGCATTGGGTTAGAACATGTTCCTTTTGCTCAGAGAAGTTTGTTATTACCCACCTTTTGAAGCCTGCTTCTATCAGCTTGTCAAACTCATTCTCCATCCTGTTTTGTTCCCTTGCTGGTGAGGTGTTGAGATCCCTTAGAGGAGGAGAGGCATTCTGGTCTTTGATGGTTTCATTCTTTTTGCACTGGTTTCTTCCCATCTTCATGGATATATCTACCTTTGATCTTTGAAGTTGGTGATTTCAGGTGGGATCTAAGTGGACATCCTTTCTGTTGATGTTGAAGCTATTTCTTTTTGTTTTTTAGTTTTCCTTCTAACAGTCAGGTTCCTCTGCTGTAGGGCTGCTGGTGGTCCACTTCAGATCTTGCTTGCCTGGAAATCACCTGTGGGCGTTGCAGAACAGCAATGATGGCTGTCTGATCTTTCCTCTGGTAGCTTTGTCCCAGAAGGGTACCTGCCAGGTGTCAGCCAGAGCTCTCCTATATGAGGCATCTTTTTGGTTATACAGGGGTCAGGGAGCCACTTACAGTCTGTCCCTTGTCTGCCTGCAGAGGCACTGCTGGGCTGTCATGGACTCAGTCCAGCTGCTTCGTAGGCTTCCTCTAGCTTTTGTTTACACAGGTAGGTTTAGACCTGCCTCAGCAATGGCGGACACCCTTCCCTCCACTGAGCTCCATTGTTTGGGGTGGAGCTTGAACTGATGTGCTGGCTGGGAAACTGAAGAGAGAGGGTTTCAGTTTGCTGGTCTTTGTGGAAGTGGGACCTGCCCAGTCATATCACCTGTCTCCCTGCTTTCAGCTCCCCCTCTTTCTGGGGAGCGGGTATCTCTGTCCTGCAGGCGCTCTTGGTGCTAGTCAAAACATCCACCCAGATCTGTGCTGACAAGCCGAGGTGCTGGCCAAAGCTGCTGCTCAGATCTGTGCAGGTAACTCATGGCACTTTTCAGCCCAGCAGGGATCTCCTGCTCTGAGTTGCCGAGGCCATGGGAGAAGCGCAGTATCTGAATCCGAGT